GTGGTCACCATCAGTCACGTATCAACCAGAGATAAGTATTCATTATACAAACTGACAGAGCCTAAAGTCTCAACATATTATCAAAAGCAGCATCTGCAGCCAATGCCTTGCACAGAAACATATCCAGTTTCTGTACGTTTGCACAGAAACATATCCAGTTGCTGTACATTTGATTTATGGCAACATCAACCCAATCTTATTGATTTGCACCATTACTCACCAAAATAAAAGTAGTAGATAAGGTTAATAAATTTGCAGGTTTGAGATCAGGCATTAATTGAAGAAAAAACCTGACAACTTGGAAAAATTAAATCCCTCCCAGTCGCAGATTAGCTCTTACGATTTTTGTTTGGAAGGAAATCTTAATGCTGTATTTCAATAAACAGAAGCATTTTGAAATGTGAATTTTGGACAATTAAATTGCTTATGAATAGTGAACGCAAAGGAAAGCAAAAGCAAATAATTTCATCTCATTATTTTGTAAACATAAACCACACTCCACTAAAAGGAGAAAGAAAATGAAAGCAGCAGAAGCTGGCAGAATCAGTGACAACCAATCACCTGCGATTTTCATCCAGCACATCCAAGACCTGCTGGTAAGCCCTACGTGTGGAAGACTGGATAAACGATAAAATGCCACGAGCAGAGTAAAGATTAGTTCCGTCTTCAGGCAACATATTGGGAGGACAGACACGAGCCTGTTGCACTGATGGTGTCACACTGTTCATATAAGCACAATAAATGAAGAAAGAAATACTGTAGTCAGATTTTTAATTAAAAAAAAAAAAAAACACCAAACTTTTCAGATAGCACCCATTCCAAAATGTTTATTGCTCGCTTTCAATTTACCCTTCTCTCAGCATTATGAAGGTGGCATCCCCAAATTCCAGGTGTAAGGAATTGTGAGCTATGTTCACATATGCAACTCTGAAGGGTTACACTGCATAGTTTTTAGGAAGGCCTTGCCCAGCCAATTCTGTGCCTGGCAAAATCAGCAGACAAGTCCTCACTGACACCAATGAGAAAGTATTTTTAAAAGCACAAGTTTTCTCAGCAAGGAGAACCTCACAGACTCTTTAACAATTTTTTCTTCATGTTGTGACTAAAGATCAAGATAGCATTTTGATTTGCACATGAACAATGTTTAAAGGCTATTGCTAGCCTTTCAGCACAGAATTCATATCCCAGGGATAAGTTACATGATCTGAGTTTTTGGCCATGATAAAAAAAAAAAAAAAAAAAAAAAAAAAGACCCTTACAAAAAAATACAGAGGATTGAGATGGAAGGATGAGCATTTTGGTTTAAAGCATTATACAAACCTTACCTCTACCAGACAGAAGCAAATTTTGATAAACTGCATTTGATTAAGTCATTTTTCCTCAAGTTTAACCTGACATCATCCACATTGCCCTTCAAACACCAAGGTTTTCTTTTATTTTAATCAGGGATTCTTAAGTGAGGCGCTTTTTTTTTTTTTTAAAGAGGAAGTCACTTCTGTTAGCTTTCTCATTTACATTAACACATACATACAACATACATACAAGAGAAAGCGTGCATCACTGCACCCTTTAAATCTTGGGATAGTTTCTATTCCAAGATTAACATTCTTATTTCAACACTCCTTGAACTGTTGATGCAAAATAGAAGTGGCAAAGTTACCAGAGTTAGAATACAAATCTTTCCACGTTTGTTAGCATTTTTATGAAACTAATCAAACCCTGAATGGTTGAGCAATTGTAAATGGGTTTGAAATGTGGATAATTTCCAGGTGGGTCACAGCCCTTTAATGCTCTGTTTTGAACAGAGATGCTTTGTGACTGGCTGGCAGCAAGACTACAAAACTGAGAAAGAAAGAAAATTCAATTGAAAAGAGATTCAAAGCATGTTATGCAGATGTCCCTTCAGCCACAGAACAGTTAAAGCCATCCCAAGCTCCTAGAGACATGCAAAGACAGCAGTGGCTGGTGCTTGACTGACATTAGTCAGCATTTATCAGCTAAAGTGCAAATACCTTCTCATGTTGCTACAGAATAAGTGTAGCCAAAAGTAAAAAATAAAAATAAACATTTCTATATTTTTTCCTATGAGTTGCAGAATTGATCTCTCTTTCATATTTACGATGATTTCTATTTTGCCATCAATAGCAGTGGTCACAGCCACAAATTTATTTCTTCAATTGCATTGGAAATCCCAATAGTCAGTAGAAAAATCACTACAAGCAGGGAAATACTGTCACTGCAGTAAATTCATGAGATTTTTTATTCCTGTATGGATTTACCAGCTTGAAGGAAAGGAAAAAAGAGCTCAAGGCTTGATGTCATAATATGTTGTTATACTACAGCTAATTTTCCTTGTTTATTATCTCAGATATTAGGCTGAATGAGAGCTTTTAAAGAAGTGACAGTATATAAACATATGGAAAACCATAAAATACTGTAAAATTCACATTGTCCAAAATACTTTTATTGTAAATAACCCTAGTAATGTTATTTGCAGAGTATTATGTAGATACTGAAAAATTACAAACAAACAAACAACAACTGAACTAAAACTACACAAAATTCCCTAGAAGAAACTGACATGTAGAAAGTCCACAGCTCAGGGAAAGGAAAAAAAAAAAAAAAAAAAAGACTGCAGAACCAGGTAGTTCCTAATTCACTGAAATACTCTACAGTCATTGGTTTATGGGCAGCTTCAAGAGGTGCTTCATTCAAGAGTTCTTTTTACTAGAGAAAAACTCATTTCTTACTTTGAATATATTTCCTCCTGGACATGAAATAAACTGCACAGCAACATTAAATTAGTCAAATTTTTTCTGTAAGGACTACTGCTAATTTTGTTATTGTTCTGAAGTACACAGTTTAGGAGAGACCTTTCTTCCTTTCTGAAAGCAAGAATAATTAAATAAAGGGCTCAAATCTCAGAGTTAGTGAATATGGGATGCAGGGGGCAAATGAAGAAGCTGAATTCTTCCTCTGTGCTCCTGTTTCAGGATTACTCATCTATAAGCATGCACTAGCCCCTTGGACTACATCAGAAGCCATGGAAAAGCAATTTAGTTAAGTAAACATCTGATACACAAACCAGCCAAGATGACACAAAAATAATTCTCTAACATTGAACAAGACTACTTATCAGAAATTGTAGCTACACCCTTTGGTAGAGGAATGTTCTTAGTCTTCAATGCAATTTCATTTAAAATTTCAGAACAGTTTTCACATTCAGTCCCAGACAGTCACTGTTTCAGCACTTTCTGGTTAAAAACACCAGTAAATTTCAGAACAGTGAATTATAGAAATTACTATGAAGGAGTTCAGTAGCAGTCTACCTTCCCAGCAGTGTCCCCAAAGCCTTCTAAAAAGGTGTGAGAAATACAGAGTTTGTTTCTCTTAGTTCTAGGAATATCAAATAAGGGTAAATAGATTTAAATTAGAAGTTAGTTTAGATTCAGCCACAGACTGCACTATCATTAAAGACGTGCATACCACAACCTTTTACCCCATAACTTGCATGAAGAACAGGATTTCTCAAGCTATGAAATAGAAAAGTGCATCTCCTTAGAAAGCTCAAAGGGAAAGGCAGGAGCAGAAGGAAAAAAAAGAAACCAAAATCACACAATCTACCCATTTTTATCCAATCTCAGTGGCTTGTTGACTCATGATTCACAGTGGAACCTTTGCATTCAACACTGACTAGCAATGGACAAGAAATAGCTTCATTTCTCCAGGTAATCACAGTCTAAGAACAAGAGTGCAAGACTAAAGCTTTTCTTTTCTCTCTTTTTTCTTTTTTTAATAAAATCAATTGTTAGTTGAAGCTCTGCCTTTCCTTCTCCACCACTTATTTCTCCCTACGTTTCTCACACCGGTGATTTGGGAAAGCTTGGTAAAGCATGCAACAGAAATAGAAACCACATATTCAGTGTAGCAAAGGCTGTTTCAATTTTATATTCTAAGTTACAGATACTTAGTGTGAAAGTTAGTATTGCAGAGAGGTACATACTTAAAAACACACTTCTGATTTTCATATACCAGGTAACATGTTGGCTTACGTGCAATCCTTAGTCGAAAGAGGTGACTGGAACCGTGGCATTTTATTTCTTGGGACAGTATCTGATCTGTGCCACCTTGAATAATAATTGTAATCTCTTAAGTAAGCATCCTTTATAAAAATGCCATTTAAAGAGCAGTTAATATTGCTAAATAGGTAGAAAGTTATTGTACAAGGAGATGCCCACTTGTTAGTCTCCATTTTTGTTTTTGTTTTTGAGCATTTGAGAATTACTTTCTCAAACAAAGCCAAACTCCCAACAAACTGTTGGAAATGCATGCAAACGGATGACAAGAGAGAGTGAAGAAAAAAAAAAAAATTACTCAAAGAACAAGAGGAAAAAAAACCTTATCTATATCATACGGAGAACACAGTGGTAAAGAGCACAGCCAATTCCTTTGCCTCAATCTATTCCAGAACATTTGATTTTGTCACTTTTGTAGGTCAGGAAATGGAATTTTGCACAGTACATGCGAGTATTTTGTCTGAAGACACTACTGTTGCAGATTAAAACTTGAGTATTATACTCTCTCGTAAGCAGATAAAGTTTTTACACAGCAGTATCCAATGTGCTTTTTCAATAGGGGCAGTCTACTCAGTGCTATCTCATCTATCAGGAAAATAGACAAAAAAACAACTTTTATAAGAATGAAATATTTGATGTAATTTGAAATGAGTGTAAAAGATGGGACTGTGTTTCCTATGAAAATGTGAACTAGACTCTAGAAAAACCCATGGGAAGAAAGTGCTGATCTTTGTTGCAGTACTTTTTATTGCAGAACTACCTAAACATGAAAACAACTTAAAAGTCAAGCCAGTTTTGATAAAGCAGCATTGTACCATTGCAATAATTAGAGCAAAGATAATACTATCAGCCAACACCACTGGAGACAAGAACTTCAAGAGCAGCTAGTTTCTCGTGTATTTGTACAATAGTGGAACAATATTATTTCTGGCAGGTAAAGAAATTAAAGTTGAAGTTACATGAGACATAACAGGTGTACACTTAAGTTTTCTGTAGTGCAAAGAATGCATTTTTAGTAAAATGTCTCTATTTAAACAGTTTATTATCAATAACAAAGGGAATGAAGTTTAGAAGAAATGAATCATGTTTACCAAGAGTCTCTAAAAGAAATAGCCATCTATACAGGCTATGTGATAATCAGTACAATCTGAGGTAGCATAATTAACATCAAACAGGCTTATTTGCTTGCACTGCCTATCTCATTCAACATCAGAACACATTCACATCAGCAGTGTCTCTAAGTGGCTACCACAGTGAAAACAGAATGCTATCCTATTAGTTTTGTTCATAGAATCACCACTTCTATTTCCACAAAGCTTACTTTTTTTTTTTGCTGTTTGCAATAGATGTCCCATAGGCCTAAATGATGAGAGTCAAGAGATACCAAGCCTTTTGTTCTGGGTGCAAAAGGCACGGCTCACACAAATGCAGAATTTCACCTTGAACAGAGTATTTTCATAATATGTATTGATAGAACATTCTCCTGAGCATTAAGCCAGGTCTGTAGTTGCATTCTCCACGTGCAGATTGATACAAGCTAAATGAGGCAGAAATGACAGAATTGCTATGAATGCCACAGCATTTTGAAAGTGCTTTCTTTTTTGACCACACTGCGTCAAAAGCAGCAATGATGACAGAAAAAGAAGCATTTCTAGGAATCTCAGTGGTATCAGAACAGATGTTCTATATGCTAGGCCCAGCATAACTTCTGTCATAAGAAAAAAAAAAATGCATTTTCTGCAGGCCAGCAAATGTGGAATGCTGCAGTGAAGAAATTCAGATTCTTCCACATTATCAGTAGAGAGCACAGATACAACAGGCTTAGTATCACTTAGATGTTACTCTTCATAGAAACAAAACAGACTGATCCAGAATCTTGTGTAAGTTTACATAATTCTTCCAGAAGACTGGAAAAGCCTAGTAAAATAACCTGGATTTAACATTATGCAGGTGCTAGCACAAGCATCAAAACAGGAAAACTCATCTCCAGATGTGTCACAATTTCCTGGCTCTTGCAGACAATAAACGGAGTCGTGCAAATTAGCAGTGACTTAGTTCACTCATCACGTCCCTCTTAAATTTAGAGGATATCAGGTTTGTATTGCACTGCCAAGCCTCTTTGAAGGACTGCTAATAGATTAAGCAATTATGTTGGCAAATAACATTTAGACAGTTTTAAACCAGTAATTCTACATATAGTAGAATAGTAAAGCACAGAGATGAGTTTTGCAAATTTAAGATTTCTGGATTGAAGAAATTCAGACATGAGAAGTCTCACAGGGATGAGACACATCCAGGCAGAGCTGCTCTTGCTAGTTTTCTAGGTTGCAGGCTATGCAGACGCAGCTCGTGACTTTAGGGAGCGCAAACAAATGTTGGGAGCATGGATAAAGTGATTTCAAGAAATTGCAAGAATTCATTCACCATCTGCTTTTCCTCCAGCAAGGATCGAAAAAGTAACATCACAGTGCTAAACTTCTTCACAAGCAACTTCCACCACATGAAGACCATCCATTCCTGCATGCACTGTATGCAAACCACCAAACAGGCATTTGAAGGTCATTCCTGTGGCAAAGTTCCAGCATATCCAGTCCGACATATTTTAACTGGGTGACCAATGTCAAAGGGAACTTGGACACTTACTAGGCTGCTAAAACACCTGGAGACTGAGCTGATCAGCAGCTTATGGATGTGAATTCGAGTTCGTCAGCTCAGTGAACTTAAAGTTCAGTAGATCTAGATATGTGAGATCTATGAGCTTGTATAAAAAGCCTGATTAAGAAAAGGAAGATAAGCAACAGTATTTCCATGAAGATCTGGAGGAAGAGAAGGAAAACTGTAATTCCTGAAATAGGCAGCTGAATACGTTTCAGCAGTTTTAGACAAATTGACTCACAGGTAGATAGAAACCTAGAATATAGAGTACCTCTTGGTACTCCTGTAAATACAAGAGAGCAGGCATTCCTAGGACAGTTTACTTTCTTTTTTTTTTAAACACTAAAAATAAGTAGAACCCTAAGTAGGTCATGTGCTTATTTCCTAAACTAAATTTAAGGTGGTTTAGCAATATTGCACTATTGAGTCTTCATTTGTCCAACACAGAATGAATCCCATTGTTAGGTCTCACATCTCAGATTCTTTCATTAAAGCAGCATTTCTTAGGGTAGCTATATTAGGAATTGTTTTGATCAATACATACACATACAGGAAGATTAAGTGTTACACTGCAATAAAAGTAAAATTATTGCCAGGTGGAAGAATGCCATCACTCAAAATATACTGAGAGCAATCAAATGACTACTGTATCTAATCGGAATATATAGACATGTATGTCTTTAGAAAGTACCATAAGAACTGCTACCTCTGATGATATCAGTAAATGAACTTTCCAGTTCTAAATCTACTTGCCATTTTTGTCTCAGGAGATGATGATACATGCTCACAGATCCCAATCCACAAAGTATACAGACACCAATGAAAAACGACTTACTCTCACACTCATGAGAAATAACCATATTTCTTTGTCTATTAATTCAAACCATTATGTGATACCAACAGCAATAACTGGGAACATTTTAATGCACACAAATAACTCAATTTCTTTGAAATAACCTGAAAATTCACGAAAAAAAAAATTACACCAGTTCAGAAACTGAAAAATCTCCTAATGCAGCAATTCACAATAACTCATGAAACAACCATGTGCCCACAAACACTCCCACCTCTAAACTCCAAGAAAACCCTCACTGTACCAGAAGCATAGAAATTAAGAAAAATGCTAGCTTTCTAGTGTTCAAAATTATATACTTGCTACAGCATACAAAAACATTACTTAGTAAAACAAAACAAAAAAAACAGCATGAGGAGATAAAGAGCAAAAGAGATATGTAGTAAAGCTGTAGTTGTGTCCCTGTACCCTCTTGCTTTACTCACATGGAATCATTTCTGGCCAGCTGGCCATTCTGTCGAGTAGCATTTTCACTCATGGAACGTTCTCTCTTCAGTCTTCCCACTGAACGAACCTGCACAAGAGGGGAACAAAAGGGAGATGAAAGACAGGAAATCCCAGGATCTAAAAACTCAGCACTGGAGAGTTAAGTTAGTTCAGTCCTCAAAGGCAAACTGGAGCTGTTGAAGCAGTCCAGAGGAGGGCCACGAAGTAGGCCAGAGCACCTCTTCATGAGGAATTGAGGGAAGTGGGTTTGTTTAGCTTGGAGAAGACTCCAGGGAAAGCTCACTGAGGCCTTCCAGTACTTTAGGGGAGCTTATAAGCAGGATGGAGACTTTTTACGTGGCCTGATAGTGATAAAAGGGGAACTGCTTTAAACTAAGAGAGGAAATTTAGGTTACATGTTAGGAAGAAATACTTTACTCAGGGAGTGGTGAAGCACAGGAACAGGCTGTCCAGAGAGACTGTGGGTATCCCATCCTTGTTCAAAGCCAAGTTAGATGGAGCCCTGATTTGGCGGTGACAACCAGCCCACGGCAGAGGAGTTGGAACTAGATGATCTTTAAGTCCCTTCCAACCCAAGCCATTCTGTGTTTCCATGGGTCTCTTGGTGATCAGGAGGAAGGCATCAGATGAGAGGATCTGATGCTGGTACATGTAAAACCAAGTTCCAGACTCACTGCCATCCATTTGTTATCAATCCATACAACCCAATGCCACAAGTATGAACAAGTCTACAGGATGCACAACTTCACTAGTATTTTCCAGTTTGTAAGATGCCAATTACACATCATTCACCTGCATGCCACTGCCATATGCTTCTTTAAAGTATGTTTTTTAGACTTTTGTTAAAACTCACTAATTCTATGTATTATATCATTTGTCAGACTTTCAGTTTCATAGCATCTCACTATGTGTTCCAATAACAAAACTGCAAATTAAAACCACCAGTCATTTTGTCAGTTAAATACAGAACTTAAAGGTCACAGTTAGAACTACAGTGCTTATAAAGATATTTTGTATTTTCCTAACTTAGATTGCAGCAGATAGACCTGCACTACAGCAGAGAAATCTTTATTTCATTTTGCTTTAGAAAAAAAATTCTCAACCAGGTAAAAAGCAAAATAAGTACTAGCCTCTTCATTTTGAGGGGTCATTTGTTGTGGAGGTTTTTCTAAGTCCAAAAAATCTAGTGGTCGATCACTAAGAGAAATAACACGGGGAGGAGTTTTCAATGCCAGTGGTTTGAATGGAGTAGACTGAAGAAGGTCGAGGTCTGGAGGCCTGGAAAGTGGAATGTCTTCACTATTACCTGCAAGAACATCAGTTGTCAATAGAAAGCAAGTTTCTTTTGTTAACTATTTCCTTCGCAAGTTACACCAAACTATTCACAAAGCATTTTCAAAATTTGAGGTACTTCCTAGGCCAAAGTTGATGAGCAACAACTGTTTGAGAATTGGAAAGCATTTTATAAGTTTTTCTTTAAATATATATTTCTGTCCTTTCAGAAATTCAGGGGATTTAAATTTTGGCCTGTTTTTACTATATTGAGATGCAGACATACCTGCCACTACAATCCGCTCTGGAACCTGCATAGTTACACTGGCATTTGGAAATCCTTCTGGGATGCTCTTCTCAAGGTCAGCGTTCTGAGGAGCCACTTTGAGTTTCTCTGGGACCCTCATGCGCTGACTGATCCCTTCGGTGTACTCCATCTCATACTGAAGACGATTGATTTCTGCCATCTCAGCAGCTGGTGATGGGAACGCAGCCCCACTCATCCTGCCAAAAGGAAACCATGAGCTGTAATAGCAATGTACAGAAGCATGGAAAGCAACTAAGGAGATCTCTCTCTGGTTTAAGATTGAGAGAAAAAGAAATCCTAGAGCTGTGCATGTAGAGCGGCAGGAAAGGGACCACTGATGGAAACTATGGGCTAGAGAGGGAACTCAAATGGCTGACAGAACATTTTCACTGGGGCAGTGGCCGAGGGACCTCATCAGTAGCTCTGATAGAGATAGTAGCTGTAGCTTGGGTTAAGAAAGAAACCCTGGAGAGACAGTTTGAATGAGGCTGCAGAGCAGCTCCCAGTGGAAACTGTGAGCTGCAAGAAGCCTCACTTGTGAGAAACCTCAGCCAGTCAACAGCTGGGGGCCTCAGCTGTAGCTCAGCTCAGACAGAGACATCGGTTACTTTTACTGTTAGGGTTAACGGGAATATTTATTTGTATACATCTATGCACATGCACAGTATGCAAATACAGTCAGTATGGGAAAACCGTCCACGGGAAACAGCTTACTCCAGCAAGAAATCTTTTATTGGCACTGCTTGAAGTGGCTCCCGAAGTGAAGCAATCTATTCCTGCAAAAGGGCATTTTTTGCCAATATAATTACAGCGACATTCTTTTGCTATTTTTGACAGCAGGGCTACATCTGCGCTTTGCTTGTGCCTTAGAAAGCTGAACACACAGAACCCTGACTACAAAATGTTTCGGTGCAGGTGAGACAGAACACGAATCACATCACCAACCAACCAGCACGAGCCCACACACAGCACCTCGTGTTTGGGAGCTGCGCATCAGCCATCAGCATACCACCATGGTCAACCCAATATAACCTGCTCTTCTGTGCACACAGATGCACAAAAACAACCTGGGTTCTTCCCTCAGTGCTTCACTAAAGAGCATCTGCTCTCAGGACCCGCCCAAGGAAACAGCCTCTGTGATCCTGTCAGATGGCACCTCCATCTGTTTTGCACATTCTATTTTCATGCAAAGAAGCCAGACGACCCCTTTATTCGTTGCCATGTAATTAGACTAATACTTGACAATATCACACAGAAACAATACTTCCCTATCAATAAAACCTCAAACTGACAGCAATTTTCAGACAGCAGAATTAAGCACACAGAAGGATATGTCTAAGTAAGACTGCATTAAATACACTCATCCAAGACATGATCCACTTAGCAATCTGTCCTGGGATCTTTGATGTTACTTTCAAGACTTACAGTCACTGCAGATCAAATGAAATACATTTATTCATCTCAAAGCCTCACTCATTTCAGCACATTGCAGAACTGGGCATCAAGGAGGTCTTCATTCTATTTAAACTTAAATATCTATCCTTAAAGGAAGTGCCTGAAATCACACACAGATTTAATCACACAGAATGGCCCAGGTTGGAAGGGACCTCAAGGATCATGAATCTCCAACCCCCTGCCACATGCAGGGCCATCAACCTCCCCATTTAACACTAGACCAGGCTGCCCAGGGCCCCATCCAATCTGGCCTTGAATAATCAAATCAAATAAAAGGAATTGGAACAGCCCACTTTGCTAAATACTTCAAAATATGCATATGCTGTCTAAAGGAGCTCAAGAGGTGCATAAGCAGCTCTGTCACTTCAGGATTCTTACAGGTTTTTTTTTTTTTTTTTGGCCCTGTCCTTCAGACTTGCAAACTACATTTGTCTCTCTCATGAAATGTTGGCTGAATCAGCCAGTGACAGGTAGAGACTTCCAGTATTTCCACTTTCCAAATGGTACTTCTTCTTCCCAAACAGGGCCTATGATCAGTAAAGCACTTCCAGATCAACAGCATTAAGATAATCACGATGCCAATATCAAAGAATCAATTTTAAGAAGACCTTAAAGTCCCCATTACTATTGGAGTCTATTGGAGGCAGCACACAGAGCAGCCACCTCTCACAAGACCAGACTACAGACGTCCCACAGCTTGTTTGCTTCCTTATTCTGAAGTACCAGGACAGCTATGATGTTTGTCATCAGGTATCACAACGCTGCAGCACTGTTTATTATACACCACAGCTTCCCTGAAGTTTGGCATTGATCTGTGTGTAAGTCAGCACAACTGCTGCTTCCCAGCTGTAAGATAAAGCGCACGCAAAAAATGACAAATCAGAACAGCTGTTCTATATAAAATATAAACTAGAAACTAAATAGTGCAGCGTGGGTCCAGCTGTACGTGGTAATTGCTGAGGAATACATACAGCACCTCAATATCTTCTTACTCTTACCTGCTTATCAACACTGACTTTTTTTTTTTTCTGTCAAGTCGATTTCAGTTTTTAACCTATTTATTTTTTTTCTCCCCACAAGAGAACAGCAAAACCACAAACAGTGACATTTCAGCAGCAGAACTTCAAACGGGGCTCGTTAACAAACGCCCAGCCGTTCAACAGGAACGTAACCATCCACTGCTTTCTGTCACAGGCATTAGGCAGATTTCAGAAGACACTAAAAAAAAAAATCACAACGAGGATTTTAAAACTTATACTTACAGAATTAAGTGGCTCTGAAAGGGCATTAAGTGGCTCAGAAAGACAACGTCGGGAAGCGACAAGGTGCAGTCGAACCACATAGGCGCCGAACTCCGGCGATCCTTCACCCCGCCCGACGCGACCGCCCCGCACACCGCGGCCACGGAACGCTGAGCGCGGCCCCGCTCCCGGATCTTCCCCCCGCTGCCTGCAGTACCTCTGAGGCTCCGGCGCCTCCCGGAACCCCTGAACCCCTAGCAGGTTTCAATGCAAAAAAAAAAAAAAAAAGAAAAGAAAAAAAAGAAGAAGGAAAAGAAACCAAACCTTTTTTCCTTAACAGAAACACACCGGAAACGCTGGAGAACACAGCGCGGTGAGACGGCCGTGGATCCAGGACCCTGCGGGGAGGGGGAGGCACGGCTTGGGCAGCCGGGAGGTGGCGGGGGCACAGCACGGCACGGCTTGGCTCGGCGGCGCTCCCTCCAGGCCCAGCAGCGCGCACTCACCCAGACGCAGCGTAACGCGCTCGGCCCTGCCCGGCCCGCCTGTTGCCCCGGCCGGGCCGCCGCTGCCGTACTCCTGCGCTGCCTCCGGCGGACGGGGGATCGTTCAGCGGCGTAAGGCGCCTTCAACCACCCTTCAGGTGAGGCGCCGCCACCGGGCGGGCTGACCCCATCGGGCTGCCGTAAGGACTGCCGGCCGCGGATCGCGTGTCACGTGATGGAAAGCGGGCGGAAACGGCTCCCCCTGGCGCCTCACTTGCGGCCCCGCCGCAGGGCGCCCATTTTTAGTGAGGGAAGGCGGGCGGTGCGCATGCGTGCTGGTGGCGCCTGGCTGGTATTGGCAAGGAACCGCGTAGTTCAGAACTTCCAGCCCTTGTTTAAGCTTCGCAAAGGCCATTCTGCGACCTTACGTAATTAGCACCGTGAAAAACTCGTCAGCGCGATGTAAAATACATCCGAACCACAACGCTCGTTTCCCGACTCGCTCCCAAGCAGCACCGTGACCGCCCGCCCCACCCCTGCTGTCCTTCGTCAGCCCGAGGGCAGCGAAATGAGAAATGCTGTTATGTAGCGCAAATTATTATTATTATTTTTAACAGGATAAAAAAGCTTCCTCTTTTCACTATTTTTTTTCAATGCCCACGGTTATGTTTTAGAGGTCAAAATGAACAGCAGAGGCAGAAGTACTGAAGTGTATATTGATCCAAGGTCAATGCAGCTTGCTAATTCCGTCCTTAGAAATGCCAAAAGCACCGTTTCACAGAGGCAAACGATCTGAAATATGATCTTTTAGAAGGTAAAAAGAAAAACTACACAGCACAGAAAATTATACATTGTTTCTCTGCAGATACAGGATGCTTCACTTGGCCTCCTTGAAACAAGCTGTTTTCCTGAGTACCCCTCAGCAATCCCCTTTCCTCTAGCACTATCAAGATGAATTTTGCCTTTAAAATAATGAAAATCTAAGCCTTGAAGCACGCTAGAATTTTCTTCACCAGTGATTCCATGTGTACAGCAGGGCTCAGGTCCCGGGGTGTGGGCTGGAGCCTGGACGCAGGCCTGCATTCCAGGGCAGGGCCGGAGCAAGCAGGGCCTCCTCAGCTTCCTCACCCCACTTTCAGCTGACCTATCACTATATAAACACTTAATGTTTTATATAGGTAAAGATCAGTAGTAGTGAGAGGAATGAACAACAAATAACACCACAAGTGAAATAGGTCTTTTGTTTAGTCAAAATATTTTATTTGGTTGTATTTAGTAGAAGGTTTCTTTGCTTTGTTTTTTTCCTTTTTTTCCCCTCCTATTGTTTTCTCATAATTTCTGATTTTTCATTCTTTCAGTACAATATATTAACACTTTGCACCTCTTCAGCTCTTTCCTGTTAAGACTCTAAAATTATCTGCAGACAAGTTAACTAATTCTCACAACAACCAGAGAGAGATTAAGATCAACTTTCTTCAAGTTTTTCTTTGGATTTCAGTGTCCAGCTCCAGTGTATCAGCTGGGCTGGATATGTGTCCCTGCAGCTGTGAGTGATGCATGCTTTTGAAAGAAAGCCCAAGTTGGAGCACTCAAAATCTAAAGCTATTTATGAAAATCTGTACTTTTAGTAACTTGTTGAAGGTCACACGATAAGGGTGCAGCAGAATCCAAAACTGAGAACAAAGCATAAATTCCCCAGAGCACTGCATTGGGCTCCGGGGCCTCCAACATAAGAAAGACATGGACCTGTTCGAGTGGGTTCAGAGGAGGGCCACAATAACCATCAGAGGGCTGGAGCACACCTGCTATAAAGTCAGGCTGGGAAAGCTGGAGTTGTTTGGCCCAAATAAAAAGAGAAGACTCTGAGGAGACCTTATAGCTACTCTTCTAGTACTTAAAGGGGGCCTACAAGAAAGAGGGGAATAGACTCTTTCTTAGGGAGCGTAGCAAAAGGACAGGAGGTAGTGGTTTTAAACTAAAAGAAGGCAGATTTAGATTAGGGATTAGGAAAAAATTCTTCACTGCGAGGGTGGTGAGGCACCAGAACAGGTTGCCCAGAGAAGCTGTGGATGCTCCGTAGCTGTGGGCAACATGATCTGATGGAAGGTGTCCCTGCCCATGGCAGGAGAGGTGGAACTAAATGATCTTTAAGGTCCCTTTCATTTTGTGATTCTATGAGACATAACACATTGTAACATACTTCTAACTTTATAACCACAATCCCTTCTCTTTATACTTCACCCTCTACTGAACATTTCCAGCAGTCTTTAATGTTACACATCTACTTATATCCTGTATTTTGCTAGTAAGCTTTACAATTGAGTCATCAGTTATACACAGTATACAGTGGCTGTGTGTGACTACACTGAGCCTTAATTAAAAACATCTTAACAAGCAATGGGCATAAATTTTACTTTGAGTATTTAAAGAAATTTCAGAGCTTATAGTAAAAAAATCTAACAAGGGACTGTCTTAAAACACCTCCATCACCAAACCTTATTTAAATGAAAGACTAAATACTAACTTGACATTGATACCTTCTTATCAGTAGTGCATTTGCATAGAGATTCTTCATAAAAACCTGCAAATTCACAATTATACCTTGCAAACATACAACTGTTCAAGCTAACAGTACTTTTAAAATATTCATTTAGTTCATGGAAATGGTATCTTCAAGTCACCTCCATCAGAAGATAATGACATGAAACACAGATGAAACTTTCATAGTTAGATTAACACTGAAAATCCAAACAGACAAACATAATGCAAGTATTTTAACAGAAACAATACAAACTTTCACTGGCTTAAAAAAAGATCTGAAGGAGAAATCTTGGCTATTTCAGTGTATTGCGCTACCTTACATTTAAAATGGTATATTTACAGAACTCTTCAGATGAATTAGGCTTCTTCTATAAAACTAAATACTGGAATTCTGATAATTTGTGCAAGTATTAAAATATTAACATTTTAAATGTTAACATTACAATTTTAAATAGCCTTGCAAGTGCAATGTTACAAATATTTTTTTAAAATCGGAGCTACAATTTTATATAAGTTACATGAGTAAATGAAAGTGCTTTTCAAGTATTCATGTTCATTTGCAGTTGGGTTCTCTTGTTAAGTCAGTGCTCAGTGGTACAATTTAAGTATCAATCTTGTTTCAGTTTTGGATGCATGAATTTAACTGGATGGAATAAATGAAATCTGAAGGAGTTTGTGCTCAATATTTCAAAATAGTATATAATTCATGATAAATATTTCAGATTGAATATTAAGAAAATGAAATACAGATTACTTCCTGGAGGCTCTGTAATAACCCAGTAATGCTGTGGGAGCTCCTGAACCACAGAGTCATTGTAAAGTCTGCTGATTTCTTAAATTATGATATGCTAAATGTTTGTTCTTTAGTAGAGACAAAACCATGGGAACAAAATAAAGCTCAATACCATCAAGTTCTGAAGAATTTTTAAGATCCCATAATCTATGTCAAAAGCATGGTGTCTAAAGAAGGTTTTCTTACACTTTCAATTAGGCAGCACTTAGCTGAAGTCACTCGAGAGCACAGCCAGTGCACATCAGCACTGTAGTGTCTACCCAGTGCACAGTGTAGCTTCCTTCCTGGCTAGCTGGAAGTCATTCTTATTGCAGTGACACAAATAATACTGTATGCCTGTTTCCCAGCCAAGGAAAGGTGAGCTAAGTGGGGAAATGCTTTTTTATTAGACAAGAAAACCAAGCCAAACCAACCCTAAATTAATCAATATGTATTTAAAAGTGCACTGAAAATATTTCATATTGAACCTGTCTCTCGTAAGTGCTGGATTTTCATCTTAAATTATACCTGCTTTGAACACTGATCATCTGTAAGCTGATATTAGAGCATTTTGTTTGTCTTTGCCATTTGAAAAGCACACGACGAGGCAGCATTAATGTCCTTCATTAAAGATTGGCAATGCCACAGATTTTATCATGAAGATGCAGCTTAGAGATGACAGTCTGCAGGGTCTTCTCCAAAACTGTGTCATTATAAGCTTAATCCAACAAAGTGCTTTGTAATTTGCCAAAGACAAAAGTCAAACCGTTGCCCTACCTCACCACAGTGCTGCACTGGCAAGCATAGTTTTCTTTCCAGGTGCATTTCCATTGGACTTTAATAAATGATAGCTCTCCAAATTTAAGCAATTCTTTGCAATAAAAGCAGGGTTTCATGCTCTGTCAAGACTGGCCATTGTTTAGACTGGTCTCTTCATGCAGACCTGACAACGGCTGATGACGTTTTCTAGTTCTCCTGCTTTCAATGTCTGTGGCATAGGTTTCCTAAAAGAAAGAAAACATTTACTTTTTGTTATTGCTGTTAAAAACTAGGGAGAGGTGATGAAACTCTGTATACGGAATGAAGTTCAAAAAGGCTAACTTCAAGATCCGGAAGATAGGTTGGGGCAATCCTGAGCAAAAATCCAAGCTGAGTCGAAAATAGATTGAGAGGAGCCCTGAGGAGGAGGACTTGAAGTTGTTGGTTGAGGAAAAGCTCAAGGTGACCTGGCGTCGTGTGCTTGCAGCCCAGAAAGCCAATTGTAACCATGGCTACATCAAAGCAAGTGTGAACAGCAGGGTGAGGGAGGTGCTCCTCTCTTTCTGCTCTGCTCTCTACGGACTCCACCTCAAGTTTTGGGTTCACCCCTGGGGATCCCAACAACATAAGAACAAGGGTAAGGGCTTTAAATTGAGAAAGGGTAGATTTAGGTTAGATATCAGGGAGAAATTCTGCACTATGAGGGTAGTGAGGCATCAGAACAGGTTGCTTAGAGAAGACATGGATGCCCCATTTGCAGAAATGTTCAAGGCCGGGCTGGACAGGGCTTTGAGCAATCTGATGTAGTGGGAAGTGTCATTACCCATGACTGGAGAGCTGGAACAAGATGCTCTTTATGGTCCCTTCCATGCCAAGCCGTTCTATGACTATGAATCAGATGTTTGTCTCACTTTAGGTCTCTTTGTGCTATGGAATGACCATAAACCTGATAAATGGGGATGTCTAATTTGATGGGAATTACTAGGGGAGACTTTGCTTGTTATGTAGGCAGTTACTGGCTTCTAAGCCATCTGCAGCATGGATGCAATGTGCATAGGTGAAGGAAGTAGGGCTGAGGCTGCTGAGAAAGCACAGTTTACCTGAACATTCTTCTTGGAT